CATGTGTGTTTTCGTATATTTTGGTTAGCATAAGTGATAAATCATGTTGACATTTTGTTGACATGTGGACGAAGTTCAAGACCAACTTCTGGCCCTTCCGTGGCTTTCCAGTACTGCAAAAATATCTTTCCAGACGTACACATGTGACAGGGTTCAATATCTATATTAGTACGCCTATCATGGTCATGATATTGAACTTTCAACACATTACAAGAGTGAGTTCCTGAGGGACTAAACTCAATTTTCAATTATGATTATTGGTCATGCTATAATACTGTATGATTCAACCGGCTGACTGCGAGACCAAAGTCTATGGAAAATAATAAGATATTGATTTGAATGACGTTCACGTGTAATATCTGCCTTTTTTGCATTGTCTTTTCATTGGATCGTTGTTTGCACTTACAGTGTGACATAAGGTGCGGGGGCGAGTCATTTTTTTCTATTCCAACATTTATGACAAGACGTGGTGACGGCACACTCAAGTTTTCTCAACTTAATTCTTATGCCACCACCAACGCAGACAAACGCATGAAAGGACAACAGACATACTCATTTTGACCTGAGTAAAGACTAAAGTGATAAAATTCGTTTTAAGTGCCTTTCTCAAGGGCACAAGATCGGTGGCATGGCAGGATTCGAACTCGGAACTTCTTGGTTCCTAGCCGATCTCTGTCGTTACGCCACACGACCCCACAAGTGATCATGCTACTCGTAGTTGTACTCGTGGTTTGCCAAGGAAACCAAGTGTAGGTTTCAAACAGCAAACTTTCTAAAGCATTCCTCATCTATCATCGAACCACACTACATTCCATTTTCTACCTTGCCGATGCTTTTGTCATTCATTTCAGATAAAATCACAAAGATAAGGTGAAAATCTCACTGCCTCACCGTCTCTACTGGTAAATCGGTTCGTTTCGATTGTAACCACTATATTGGAGGAGTGAATCAGGCCTGGAAGTTTGTAGAAGTAGGTTAATTTCCATACTAAATAATTCAGATACCAAAAGATTGTATCTGTACCAAGTTAAAGCAAGTCTAATGAGAAATAACGTCCATGACTTGAGCTTTCAAAGGAATCCTGAAAACAGAGTCTTAATTGTACCTGCTATTCTTACCGGTAATGAACTCCTTTAAAATTTGAATGAAGAAAAATCCATCTCTCCTCAGCGGCATGTCTTATTCTCAATAGAGCTTTGATTTCCCTTTAGAAGTTCACTTGATGAAGAAGATACTTCTTACAAAACACGACTTCTCCATCAGAAGCAGGAAGGTGCCCTAAGGTTAGCGCTAGTTTCTCACGCCAATGAACAGACGTGGTAAAAGAATTACGCTCGTCATTAGAGCATACATACTCTCGTGGGGCTGCCAACAGCAGGACTACTAATATCCTTTGAGGCATTCAATCCAGAAGACATTTGGCTTTTATCCAAATGCAGCGCCAATGAGTCACCGCGTGCGACGATACAAGAGATAATATTCCCCGTGACACGCGGGATTTAAAAGGAATTACGTGCACACTAAGGTCTTATCTCAATGTTTCGGCTCACCAGCAGTCCAACAGATCATCATTATGGTGTCTGGCAGATCCAGAAATTGCTAGACGAAGGTGCTGACATATCACCACCGACTTAGAATGGGGTTACTTTTTCTATACAATCAACTTCTTAGAAGCCTACAGCTCTATTTATCGCATGCAGATAGTCTGCGATGTAGGAACGCGACGTTGTTCAAACTTTGTTGCAATTGAGTTGTAATGGAGTTATCAGTAATACTGAAGAGTATCAGTAATGGGTTTGATCTTCCAAAGTTTTAGTAGAGAACGTTTACACTAAAAAAAGCTTTCTCTACCAAATGTTTTGAAAACCATCCACAGAACCTGTCCACTGTCTAAGCCAATTGCCATTTTAGTCCTACATTTCATGGCCACGTTCTTTACGTGCAACAGGTTGTGTACAGTTCTTTTGAGTCCAATGACGAACCGAAGAATGCACTGCCCTTGGCAAATGAAGATTTCTGGCTTGTAGTTTTTCCAATACCCGATACGTGTTATTGTCGGCTAGCGGCTACCTTGCAGAAACAATGCCAAATCTACTTACAGGTACTTCTTGTCTCCATAAATATCAATCCATTCCAAGCGTCTGAAGTTCTGAGGATGGTAAGGGAACTTTACTGTGCTGATTTTGCCGCAGTCAGCTTTCACAACAATGGCACTGCTTGATGATGACTTTGAAGCAAGATATATCAGAGCACAGTAAAATAACATTCAGGGACAGGGAAACAGTGTTAGCGCTTGGGACAGGGAAACACAGTCAGCACCAGGGACAGGAAAACACAGTCAGCACCAGGGACAGGGAAATACAGTCAGCACCAGGGACAGGGAAATACAGTCAGCACCAAGGACAGGGAAAACAGTCAGCACAAGGGACAGGGAAACACAGTCAGCACCAGGGACAGGGAAACACAGTCAGCACCAGGGACAGGGAAACACAGTCAGCACCAGGGACAGGGAAACACAGTCAGCACCGTGGACAGGGAAAACACAGTCAGCACCGGGGACAGGGAAACACGGTCAGCACAAGGGACAGGGAAACACAGTCAGCACCAGGGACAGGGAAACACAGTCAGCACCAGGGACAGGGAAACACAGTCAGCACCAGGGACAGGGAAACACAGTCAGCACCAGGGACAGGGAAACACAGTCAGCACCAGGGACAGGGAAACACAGTCAGCGCTGGGGACAGGGAAACACTTTCAGCACCAGGGAAAGGGAAACACAGTCAGCACCAGGGACAGGGAAAACAGTCAGCACCAAGGACAGGGAAACACTTTCAGCACCAGGGAGAGGGAAACACAGTCAGCACCAGGGACAGGGAAACACAGTCAGCACCAGGGACAGGGAAAACAGTCAGCACCAAGGGCATAACAAGCAACTAGCATTGTATCTTACATTGCATTATCCTTCAGGTTAGTGGAAAATGTAGTATTATCCGAAATCTAGCAGTAAAATAAGAGTTCAAAGAATATCAAATGTTAGCCTTTAACAATGTGGGTCTTGGGGACAGTATTCTGTTCTTATTGAGACAAATTGGACGTAACAAGCTCTTCCTGCATAAAACACTTCACAAAGTGCCCATGCAGTCCCCAAGGGTGTTCATAATGAATAAGCCAGTAAAAGTGTCTTGGCTTACCCACGTCAGCATGGCCAACACCTGATTGATCCTCACTTTGTTACATTTGCATACTGACTGCGCAGTTATCAAAACTCAAGGCTCAAAAATGTTACCCTTTATGCCTGAAGCACACAAGGCACCCAACATTCCCCATATCTTTTCATTTAGTCCATGTTTCCTATAAGTGAGGTATAGTGTAGTACATAATAAGGAATCTAAGAGATGAGGTCTGAATAGAAAAAAGACAGTAGGATAATGGAATTAGACTGTTGTACATTATCGTAATCCCCTTTAGACATTGTCTTAGTACTGATGTTCCCACTGAGCTCATCAACGCTTTGGGGGTGGCACCAATCGACATGAAGTCAATCAATTTTATGGACAAAAGCTTAGTCATCTAATTAACTAGTGCTATGCCTGGACAATAATTGGTCCCCAGGGAATCCACCTACTGATCTCATTAGGATAATTAACCCAGAGGCATCAACAGCGAATAGAAATATGCATACAGATACATTGGCAAAACATCATGATCTGTCATTACCTTACAGAAAGTTATAAGGCTATCAAATCGCTAATTAAGATATGTATCTTATCCCTCATGCGTACATATGGGATCCACACGTACCCCAGGGCTCCTTTCTTTGCAATATTTTCAATATCATTATGTGTTCTTTTTTTGTTATTGAAGATGCAAAGTAGTTGTCAACCCAAGGTTGTCAATTCAAATACTTAAAATGGTGTTCCATTCATTGATAGAGTTTTATAAATCAATTTTCTTTTATATCATCACGGAAACTTGAAACTCAATGCTAAATCAACTAATTCAATTAATTCTAGCATTACAAACTGTGTTACAAACTTGTAAAACTTCCACAATCCTGTGCCTACCCCCCACTCTGTACCTTTGTTCCATAGCCATGCTAGTGATCTGATCCCTCATGCTAAATTTTCCTAGAAAAAATCCTGGTGAGTTTGCAAATGGGTCACACAATAGTGTTGTCATATTATGCAAATATCAGTATAATGTAGTAATATTGCCTGTAACTATGCCTAATTATTGCTCACAGGCTAATTATCAATAAGACAGATGGCAGCATGCATGAATATCAATGCTGTTGAAATGAGCAGACCATTACAGCCCAGATAAAATGTCACGGCTTAATTTTCTGCGCACTCAGCCGGATTAAAGGCAGCTGCTGTATTTATGTCTCAATTTACAAAGTCGACGCTGGTAAACTACAGTAACTGTTGCAGGCTCAACATTACAAACAAATTACCAACTATAGAGGTGACATTTGCAAAGCAAATGCATATTCGCGTATAGTCTGGTCTGTTAATTCTTGAAAACACATTCATAAACTAGTAACGTTATATGGTGACAGGAGTCTAAATCCCTCCTGCTATAAAATTGCAACATGGTGTAACCCAACACGTTACCATGGTGATAGACCTCTGGTTCTGGTCATTGACCTTAATTGTTTGGAGAAGAAGAGGAGGAAGAAACTGAACAAAAGCAATATGTTTTCCTTCTGTAAACATAATGATTTCATACTCCCTACATCAAAGGGCTACAACCTAAGGTCCTTTTCACAACAATATCTGCTTTGAGGCTTTGCATTTGCAACAAGTGTTGTCTTGTTTTTTTATTTGATTGAACTAACACATGAAGAATGGAGTGAAGAAGTAATGACTACTGGGAAATGAGACATTTGTTTACACCCTACGGCAATGACATTAAGGTTATTACAATTCCAACTCAAGCAAAGATTTATACTAATGTTCTTCTCCCTACGGTGTTAATAAAACACAGTATACTGCAGCTAGAAGACAGGTGGAGGTTTAATGAAATATCTGTACAAAGTTATTCAGTGTATGTCATAGAATGCTTCAGGAAAAATGCTTCAGGATTTTGAAACAAAAGTTAGATAGATTTTGGTTCATCATCTGGTTATCTGGATTTGGCTCTTACAATAAACTATCAACTGTCCAACTAAAAATAACTACATTGTACTTGTAAAATCATGAACATAAAATTGTTTGCAGAATTATCAATAGTTTTGATTAAGAGACAAAATGCTTCTCAACACAATATTCATACAGGGATACTTCTATTACTTTGCTTCCACCAGTGTGCAATAGACTTGACTACAGTAACTGTTTAATTTACAACATTTGTTGTCTAAGTTTAAGCTGTTACATCTGTACATACATGTAGTTGCTTGCCTTGTGGCACAAGCAGCATACTTATTTGTTGCTGAGTTTTTGTTTCTTCTTCATATCCTTCTGGGTCTTTTCATACTCCTCTCGCTTGGCTGTGAGTTTCTTTGCCTGAAATAAGCAGAGTAATGTCAGTCTTCAGTCTACAATATATTAAGGGAAAAATGCTATGGAAGTACATGTATTGTTCTTAAAATGTCATAGACAGTTTACAAACCTTGATCCATTGTAAGATTCAAACTCAACTGCTACAATCAACTCATACAAAACGTCATGTGAACACCATGTCCTCCTGTTTTTCTCCAGCCTGGAAAGCGTCCAATTGTTCTCACTGTTGATCAGTCCTTTTGTGTTCCCGTGTAGAAAATCGATACCTATTGCATTGCCCAGATAATCTACATTTGATGCAGTCACTTTTACAAAGGCTCCCTGGGGCTGCTCAATACACCATCAACTAACTTCCAAAAGATACACTACACAAGGCAGCAATTACAGTGCAAGCCAGAGTGCTTTACCAGTAGGAAGCCATCTGAAGCCACTTCACACAACAAATACATCTTATCAGCAAAAGTGATCTAATTACAGTTATTGAGCATAGGAATGACAAGCGAGTGCGCGTGCCGACAATGTATTGATTGCCACATTAGTTACTACATTGTTTTTACAAAATCTACAAAACAGCAGATGGTTATATGGCGATATCATCATAGCAGTAGATAATTTTAGCTTATTCCTTTGTTTGATACATGTACTTCAACAGAATGGCAAGTTTGCAATCATAACGATAATCTGAATTATAGGAGAAGCATACACTGTACCTGTATTTCAAAACTTAAAAGAAAATTTAAGCCCTTTTGCGAACATCAGACAAATGTAACTGTTGTTCTGCACAATATTTTGGTTTAAGTGACAACATCCCACAATAGTGGCCTTTAATTCTTCCCAAAATTGAAGAGAAACATGACATTTTAAGACATTGGCATATTTCTACAAGATTCTCAAGTTACCATAGTCTGTATTTCCCTACCTCATGTTTCTTCCTCCTTTCCCTCTTGGAGAGTTTCTCAAAGAGCCTTTTCCGTTTCTTGGGGATCATCATGATGGCCAGCTTCCTGGCCTCCCAGTCCTCCCGACTGGCCTTGGAACTGGCATCCTCATAGTCCAACTTCCCTGCCTTCACTTTGATGCTGCTGGGGGGAGTGTTGGGGACTTCATCCTGCATTGAGAAAAAGAAAGGCAACAAAATATTATTTTTATCATGTTTACCAAAGGAAAATATATTGTTTTTGCTCCGTTTCTTCTCCTTCTTCTGTTCCAAACACTGACCTCTGACCTGGTCAATGACCAGACTCTCTCTCACTCTTATGTAACACAATCATGTAACTGGCATTGGGTTACATCATGTTGCAATTTTATAGCAGGAGGGATTTAGACTTCTGTCACCATATATGTGAATGTGTTTGAGTCAGAATTAACAGAGCAGACCATATGCAAAGGTAAACATGCATTTGCTTTGGAAATGTTACCTTTCTGCAAGTATAGTAAGCTGATACACCCTTTTTCTGTACATATTTGACGTATACACTTGATTATAGAAAAGAAGTTAAAATCTTAAACATACATTACACATACATGTCCTGATAATCAAAAGAGCAGATAGCAAAAAAAAGGTTTTTAGAAAATCGTTCAAAGAAATTCAAGTCACAAGTTTACCCAGACAATGTGGGACCCAGATTTATACACGTTTCTTCACTCTCAGTAATGGCACCATCAGTTCTAAGTTCAAAGAGTTTCTGAGAAGGTATGGCAACACCTGAGGGGCTCCTTAAGGGCTGGGGTGACAATCTCTAACGTCCCATCTCCGGGAAAACAAGCTGATCCAAGAAAGCACCGATGACATTTCTTCCATCATTGTCTGAGACATCCTTTTATCTCACCCTCTCCCGTGGCTTAAATGCTTTGGCAGGGATGAACTAAAATCCCTAGTTGATGAGACAGCTGCTCACTGCCTGCTGCTACAGTGTTATGTAACATACATCAGAAACCTCGCATCCTCTTCTAATGGAGACCTTCAGATCTGTTGCAGATACTCTAAGAAGTTTGTACAAGTTTTTCTTTCCTAGAAGGCAAATAGCAAATCATGTAACACAAGGTCACTTCAGGGTTCAAGGACTGGAGCACCATCTATTCGTTCCTTATAAAACAGAAAATGCTAGAGACAAGCATGGCTCACCGAGACTGAGGACTAACTAACCCAATAGAAACTAGAAAGTATTTGCAAAGCAAACCGTAATGTTTACCTTCGCATATGGTCTTTCTTGCTCCAACACATTCACATATATGGTGACAGGAGTCTAAATCCCTCCTACTGTAAAATTGCAACATTATGTAACCCAACACCAGTTACCATGGTGACAGACGGTCTGGTTCAGGTCATTGACCAGGTCAGTGTTTGAAACGGAAGTAGAAACAGAGTAAAAACAATATGTTTTCCTTCGATAAACATTAAGTCATGAAGTCCCTACCATGTCCAGAACAAGATCTAAATACAAACTTCATAGTGTGACAATTTTGGAACATTTTATTGATCACGGTGAATAAGAATTGAGTTAACCACTATACATAATCAAGTCTAAATCTAATACAGTCGTGTGCGTGGAAGAAAGTTCAGTACAAACATGATTTTTACGAGACACAGGAGCTGTACAAATTGGTTTATCAGAAGAAACATCCGATGTAATCCAAAATAAGACCATGATCCTGATGCATGTGTCTACATGTACATGTGTCATTTAGCTTGTTGGGAATTCCTAAGACAAGAACAGCAGATGGATAAAGAAGGAAATCACTTCCAAATTGGTAATTTGGTAGAATAGTACATGTATATTGCAGCTATGTAATGCTGTACATGTATATTCATTTTGGTGTGTAGTAAGTACATGTGCAAGTGCATGTACTGTAAAATTATGTTTTCATTGAGGTTGTCGGAAATCTTGTGAAATTCCAACAGAATATCAACAGAATATGCAAACATGGGCCATTCAGTTTGCAGCAGAGTGAAAGTCCTTTATATGTATGTCCATTAAATAATGTGTACATCTGTGTATACATGTATCTCCAGTGAACTACTCCCAAAGGATTACTATAGATCATCACATATCGATCAAACACTGCAAGCCATACATTCACAGGATACATGTTATGGTGCCATTATCTAAAAAGGATGGCCAACAACCTCACAACAAATGGCATACATGTACAACACAGCATTAACACTCTCTCTATGTGTAAATGTGACAGAATGCCTTCACAGATACTCAACACGACATATATCTGCCAAAGTGTGATACATTGTGATTGAGATATATTCATTCCCCCTTTTCCTTGATGCTATCACAGTTGACCCAAATAGCCACCATCCATTAGAGGGAAAAGTCATGAAGATGGCTATCAGTCGCCAGATTACACACTCACACACCCAGGGGAAATGGACAGGAAGTGCCAATATTATCTGCATAACAACCAGGGAAGTTACATGTCAGATAGGCAGACTACAGGCTAATATGGCACCTCCACAAGATTTCTGTTGTGGGAAGTAAGCTTTCTGAGAAAGGTGATCTAAATCTTGAGTTTAATGGCATGTTTGACCCAGTCACATTTGTCAGGGTACAATCTTCATCTGCAAGAATGTACCTCATACCATGGTAGCTGTGGTTTTTGCAAAGCTGCTTCTACTGCTATACTACTTCTTGATCTTATTGAGTTATTTTAGTTTGTGTTTTAATCTTCAGTAGCCGTCTATGTGTTCCCATGATGCAGTGTCAGGTTTTTTGTTTTCTTTGAACTGGCGCTGGAACTTCTAAGAGGGTCTGTATGGGGGCTGAATGATGACACAGCCATGTGGTATTGAGCTGCACCACAAAGTATCCCCCAGTTACTCTAGCACATCACAATCTGCATGAGGATAAGGGTACCCACATGCACTGGTCAGTGGGGTGTGCAAAATCAGTTGCATGTTGAGGCACAAGGGTAGAATATGGAAAAAACTGAAAGCTGTTATTGTATTGATTAGGTACTAATATGGCCGGATCAGTCCATGCACCACCTATCAAAATACAGGTGTACTGCACAGTACATATATTAAAAGAAAAAAATCTTTGTCACACTTCAGAAACAGGAAAAGCACACAAGATACCTTACTTAGTCTAAGTTACAACTTTGAAACTTCACTGCTTCGCGCATATCAAGTACAAAATTAATGTAAGTCTTAGCCTCTTATTTCTCTTGCTACCAATACATCAAATATTTCATTTGATGGCTTGTTTAATGGTTTTGTAATCCCTAGAGTTGTAATCTAGCTGCTGGAGCAATTCTAAAAGCATTGTCAAAATGTATCCAGCCTAACAAATAGGTAGACCATACCTGATGATACTTACATGTGAACAGCTTGAGGGCACACAGTCTATTACACTGCATTATCTACTGTAGCAATGGCATCTGTTTAGGAATCCTACTGCAAATGATCATTATGGCTTACCTGTTCAGTGAATGAAAATTATGCCCTCTACGCCACAATAAATATCAATAAAAATATGCGCATAATCAAGACTGACCTGTTTTCTTTTGTTTGGTGTTCTTTTCTCCACTATTTGCTTCTCATCTTCTTCTTCCTCTTCCTCACCGTCATCATCATCATCATCTTCATCATCATCTTCCTCAACTTCTTCTTCATCTGTTGTGGCACAATTTTTATCAATGCGTCAAGAAGAATAATACAAAAAATTCGCATTCTAAGGCTTTCTAATGGCTTATTTTAATGAGACAGAGTAAATGAATGAAGACCAGTGCTCGAAATTCAATTTTGGGAATAGCCATCAATACTATACATTCAACATCTTTACATACGTAAGCCTAAGAAAATATATGAAAAAATTGGGACCACAGCTCCAAATTTTGCACATGCACTCAGTATTTCGAGCCCTGAAGGCAAAACAAAATGTCTGAGAGGTTCTGATGACAACAGCAAGGCAACAGTGTCTGTGTCACAAAGAGGCTCCCAACATTTCTCTGGCACACTTTGTGAGAGTTGTAGACAGGCAAGTGAAAGGCCTTACCAACTGGCAAGTGTGCACACATAATTATAGTAATTCAATAGCCAAACATGTTTACATCTGATATGTTACAATAACCAAGGATCAAAATACATTTCTAATTTCTGCAATACGTGACTCATTATCAGTACAACACTACCCCATGCATTTTGGATTGTTGAGCAACTTTGTCAACAAGTCCATAATATGAAATTCATTAGGGGATAAGCACCTTCATCATCTATCTCTTCTTCTTCTTCCTCTTCTTCATCTGAATCTTCAGCTTCTCCAGATACCGTATCTCCTACAAAAGGGCATTTAATATGTGGTCATGTTTTGGAAGTGTTCCATTTACAAAAACAGTTCACAAATCTAGTGTCAAATGAACCATTAAGTTTTTCAAGTGTCATCACTTATCAACCAGCGCCTGTTGTGTTGATAACTATAACAGGTCATTATCTTTTACTTATATTCAACCCTTTCATACTGGTACAATATATTCTGAAATTAAAATAAAGGCCAATTCAGCAAAGTGCTATTGCAACTAGAGCATATCGAATGGCATTCATATGATATGGTCTCTCTTGTTACTTGCAATTTTATTTGCAGAGAAGTAATAACCAATATAGCAGACTCAGTAAATAGCCCATATCAATTTCTATCATTTTCAAATGCTCATTTGGTTCTTTTTGGAGTCACTTTGAGTCCATTGCCATTATTTTGATACATTCAATTCAATAATACTTACAATAAGTGTTAGTTGCAAGAGCTACAATAAGTGAATGGAAATAAGAGTTGTGTAACAAATGCTTCTATATATCGCTGCCATGTACATTAGAAATTTCAGACAGGGTACATACGAATGCCTGAAGGCAGGGCATTTTGTTTATCACTGAAAAATGTCTGAGAGGTTCTGATGACAACAGCAAGGCAACAACGTCTGTGTCACAAAGAGGCTCCCAACATTTCTCTGGCACACTTTGTGAGAGTTGTAGACAGACAAGTGAAAGGCCTTACCAACTGGCAAGTGTGCACACACATAGCAATTAAACAACCATGTACATGTACAGGGTTAAGACTAACTGGGGCTTAAAATATTTCATTGCCGTATCTGTGTAGCCGGTATTACCACCCTTCAGTGTAACACATCAGCTTTGCAAGCACGTGACGCGGCAGCAGCTGGTTACATTACACCGAAGGAGTTGTTGCACCTAACCATTTCTGTTTTCTACCATGTGTGAGTCATAATAACAAGTCAGTACTCTTTTCATCTTCAGTCATATCATTAATAATACTTATGACTTACCAGTATCCAGACCCTGTTGCCTTCTGGACAGAGCTTCCTTCTCAGGTGGTACATAGTCACCTTCTTTATACTCCACAAAAGGTGAGAGGTGGGGGGGCAGGACCACACCTGGGAAGTAGTCTTCAACAGGCAGCAGCATCCTGGCATTCACACAGTCAAACAACCACTGGGGCTGGACATAGTACCTGCAGAGAACAAAATTATGCATTAGTTTTCTCAAGTCAGAGTTAGTTTTCATGTTGGTTAGAGAAAAGGTAATCCTGAGCAATTAGAACTGTAAAGTAGTTCAAAGAAATGATAAGTTATGAATATGATCATGCATGCTTTGTTAGAAGAAGCGTGTTTGGGAGTAGAACAAGGACACAGAAACTGTTACTCCGTGTCCTGAAGAACTCCCACTTTATCTAGCACATCATTGCTGTTGTTAGAACATTATTCAGAACCACAACAAAGAACAATCATGTGCAGTACAGACACATGCAATAGCACTAGTAGAATTACACATTTTTCCTTCAACAACTCACTTACATGAAAATAAAACTCTGACTAGAAAGGTAACATTTGCAAAGTAGATGCATAATCTTCACATATGGTCTGCTCTGTTAATTGTTACTCAAATACATTCATATATGCCATGGTCAGACAGGAGTCTAAATCACTCCTGCTATAAAATTGCAACATAATGTAACCCAACATTAGTTACCATGGTAACAGTCAGTCTGGTTTAGGTCATTGACCTTTTTGGTTGGGAGAAGAAAAAGAGGAAACGTAGCAAAAACAATGTTATGTATGTTTACTTTGACATTCCATAAATGTAATATTTAAAATACTACTACTCTATATGAATTTTGCTTCTTATAGAATCAAAGAAACTGTTTTCCATAAAACATAAAACTACAAAAAGAAACTTTCTAACTTCTGTTCTGAAGTTATTATTCAGGATACCTTGACAGGTACTGTCTGTCAGATTTGGGTCTGTCCACGATCTGATGGGTGATGGTCTCGTCACTCTCATCAAACGTCGCTCCCATGGCAACAGACCTGTCCCATGATGCCTCACCACCAAAACTCCTACCGCATGACAAGAAACAGGAAGAATACATGTAAATGTTACAAGCTCATACAGTCTGTAGTTGGTATAACTTGTATACATCGCATTACATCTTGTTTCTCATTGAAAATGTCTGAGAGGTTCTGATGACAACAGCAAGGCAACAGTGTCTGTGTCACAAAGAGGCTCCCAACATTTCTCTGGCACACTTTGTGAGAGTTGTAGACAGGCAAGTGAAAGGCCTTACCAACTGGCAAATGTGCAAGTTATACAGGGACTCAACAGTGATGTACATGCTACAAAATGTATACCAACACAGGGCCAACATGCCTATACATTTGGGGGGGGGGGGTCTTTAGGGGTTCTTACCTTACTGTAAAGACAACTGGTTCTCTGGGCACCTCCCTGGATACAAACACTTTCAGACCGTTGAACAGTTTCTGAAAGGCCTTTTGTTTCTCCTCCTCTTGTTTGGCCTCCTGTGTCTGAAATGTGGATGAAGATTGAACATATAATGAACTTTCAATAAGTCATAAAACAGTTTTGTCATTTCAAAAATGTATCTCTTGGTTCCAGCTTGGGAAAGAGAGATTAGTCACACAAACTTTTTCACAGGTACTACGTAATGTGTTCTTCAAAATGTTGAGGAAAAATCAGATTTCTCTTTCAAGACTTCTTGCTGATCTATTTCAAGGAGACAGTACAGGGAAATGCCTCAAGGTTAGAGTCGAAAAGTCTGAGAGGTTCTTTGCAAGAAGCTTTTAGAATATCCCAATATTCCAACCAAAGGAAAAAGAATATGCCTTGGGGTGAGGCATCTTGTTTGTAGTTAGAAAATGTCTGAGAGGTTCTGATGACAACAGCAAGGCAACAATATCTGTGTCACAAAGAGGCTCCCAACATTTCTCTGGCACACTTTGTGAGAGTTGTAGACAGGCAAGTGAAAGGCCGTATCAACTGGCAAGTGTGCACATATAATATTGCAATTTGAAGGCCACATACCTAAAATACATAGCAATGTAGTAGGTATACATGTATGACACACATGGTATATACATTGTACAAGCTTTGTACTGAACGAGATAGAGAGAGAGAGAGAGAGAGAGAGAGAGAAAGAGTAAGAAAGCAAAATTCTCACCCTACTGTCCTCAAACTCATCCAATTCTACTTCATCTTCCTCTGTGTTTTGTGTCACCACAGATACCAAGCTGGCACTTAGAGCTGCCAGTCTCTGAAAACAAATAAAAGAATTTTACGGATAGGTCTTGTCTGAAGTGGCTGCATAGGGTCATTTGGGCAGAGGGTCTGTATGGGGGCTGAATGATGACACAGCCATGTGGTATTGGGCTGCACCACAAAGTATCCCCCAGTTACTCTAGCACACCACAATCTGCATGAGGACAAGGGTACCCACATGCACTGTTCAGTGGGGTGTGCAACATCAGACTATTGTGCATGACCAAAAATTCATCCTGTTACCTGTTCTTCAACAATGTAATATAGTTTGGGCAAACTAGATTGTATCAGCCACAACATGTACATTGTACATGTATGATAAAAAAAATTACTGTACAAAGAGTTTTAGTAGGATCTGACTCATTACATAGCAGCACAACTTCTAGTTACACTTGGTTGAGTGTGGAACCAGTACATTATTGACAGGTTTTCTTTATGTCTGTACAATAGTGAAGGTATTGTTCTGCACTCTTTAGTTTAAGATGAGCTCAGTAATAATGAGAAAATTTAATGATCCCAAATCCCATTCAAAATAACCAATGATGTATGGATCCTGGTAAATGACCCAAAAATAAAGTGGGTTTCAGGCCATAAACTTTACAATCAGACATTTTCCTCAATATGCTATGCATGGATTTTACCCAGAAATACTGGAAGGCAATGACAAAATTTATGATACCTACCAGGGTATAATAAATCATGTGAATGTTAGAGAGACAAAAATGGCAGTGCCCTTACAGCTTGCAATAAATCATATGTATCTCCCAGTAGCTTTATAGCATTAGAAAGTGCAGTCATCAATTCTGTTCAACATTCAATCACGACTCATCGTATAAAAGAGTCTTTAACTTTTCTATCCCATTTTCTGTTGAACCATAACCTTTGCAAACAGGAATTAGGAATAAAGAAAGTGAAATGTCACACCTCTCCAGTAGCCTCGGACTCCAGACAGTAGGCGTTTTTCTCATCATCATCCTTCACCTTAGCTTCAAACGTAAGCTGGAAAAATGACAGAGACATATTGGCTATCAAAATATACATGTCTGAACAAAAAAATGTTATTTACATTCATGAAGCACACTATAGGTTATTTCTCTTACCTTTGGGGGGTAGTGCAGACCGAGTGATGTGTAGAGTTTGAAGTTGACAAACCCTAACATGGTGATGTAGAATTCCACAAAGTGGGCCATGATGCGGAAATCAACATCTGCACATGCCTGGACAAAAAATAAAAAGTTGCACCCAGAAAGATACTTTCTTAGTACAATGCTATACTGGAGGAAGACCAATTTTCAACAAAGTTTGGCGCTGAGAAGTAAAAATTTTGATCACTCAATTAGGAGTTTTTACACACATTTTCTGAACTTCATAACAACGTCAAAGTCTATCACCTATGGAGTACTAGTGACATCTGACCTTTGCATTAAAGCCAAAGTTGTACGGTACGAGCCAGGTGACCACCTGACCCTGCATCTCCACCTGGTAGTAGATACCCTTGATTGACAGGAACACCTGCGAAAAATCACATGATACAGCTGATTTGCATACTGACATCAAAATGTTTCTATAGGGCCCTTCCTTAAGAAAAACACAAAATATGGGGAAATGTGTGACAGGTTCATACCTTTTTCAAGGCCCTGGCAGCAACGATGAAATTCATGAATTCGACTGGAACAAAAGATGTACATATCTCTGTTATTACATGTTGGAAGGTACATTGCCTGTGTCACAAACCTATAATTACAAAAAATAACACTTTATTGTTTTATGATATAGATCAATACTAATTCATATGAGTACCATGTAACTAACATTTTAAGACTTTATGACTGGTTCTAGTAACATACCTGACAAGTGTCTACATCTTTGTACAAAGTCTCCTGGAATGTTTTTGGTTTGAGGGAATGTTGCAAACAGGAACACCAGGCAGAGGCAGTCATCCAGGTCCCGTAGTGCATCAACAAATGTGGGATATCTGCAGTACATACAAACATACAGTTACATATAACAACAGACTTATGTACAAAAGGTCTTTTCAATGTGGTCCATAAAAACCTTTAAGTTTTACAGTACTTATGATAAACAAAAGTTCATTGCTGCCACCACAGACTGTGTGAATTCTTCAACTTTTAGATATCTTAAAACTTTAAAAGGTTTAATGGATCTTTACATTATGACCTGTACATTAGTGCCCCCTACCAACATTGTCTGGCACTACAGTGTGTACAATGTAGGTCAGTGTTCGAAATACCCGTCTGCAGTCTGCAATTTGCAGATAGATTTTCAAGATTGCAGAAGAAAAAATCTTACAATCTGCAATTTTGCAGAAGGAAAAAATAGGCTCCGGATTCAATAGTTTTCAATTAGCAAAGCAGTGGCGCTGTGAATAGATCGAAAACCTGCGCCGCACGAACCTGCCGGCGTTTTCCAGCAGATTGTAATGTTCCCATATAAGGGAATTTGGGGTCAAAGTTGAACGATTTCGACAAGGCGACGAAAGGCGACGATATCCAAATATGGGCACTCGCCATTTTCCGATGTTAGATTTCGTCTCCCGGGAGGACCCGACAACTGCCTCGGCAATTTTCGGCAGTTTTCGCTGAGCATTTCCCAGCAGGCAACACGGCAAAGGAAACATGGCTCCTCCGAAAACCACACTCGCCTCGGCGTTAATTTGCCGAAATTTCGATGTTTTTCCTTGGTATTTTGCACGATCCAAGCAAAGAAAACAGTTGATCACATGAACAAAAGAGAAATACAGCACTGGGAACCTAATGGTCCGTTTTGTTGGGCGGTAATTTCTCATTTTGAGTGAAAATTTACGTGCATCACATTGTGACCATATTGTGTAAAATCAGTGATTTTCGGCTCGATCCGAACCAAGCACGGCCCGTAGACTTGTCCTTTATGATTTCTAGATGACTATCGGTACCAAAATACGGGAAAATATTGTTGCAAAATGAGAGAGACGGAGACTAAGGTAAACTTCTTTTATTTGAAGGCTGGATTTTCATTTTCCTGGCAGGCTTCTTTGTATGTAGTGATCATCAGTTATTCAGTAACAACAAATATGGATTTTTGTTCCGGTCAAAAAAACCGGTCCACCGACCTTTCGTTTTTTTTGGACCGGACCGATAAAATTTTACGGTCCGAACATATTTAAAAGAGTGATATTTTGAAGAATTTCAGTAATGCTACAGATTTACAAAGCTATACCGTTATATATATATATATATATGATGTAAAAATAGGCATTATTGGTTTCAGAAGGTTGTAATATGGGGGGCTTGTGTATTTGCAGAAAGTATTTCCAAATTGCAGGACGAAATTTTGACTCTTCTGCAATATTGCAGAGCACTGAAAAAAAGTATTTCGACCACTGTAGGTGCATAGCTACTGTGTAAGTACACCAGCTATGAGGTTGGTATACTGTAAATCATGTTGTACTGCCAAATTGTTTCCAAAGCGAAATTCAAACAGGGTGACAACCTTTCCCCTTACTATCGTATGAAATCAAGTCTCTGTTAAAATAACAGTAAATGCAGTACCCCTAAACTGTCCCAACTCACCTTTCCTTGATGATGTGATCCAGTTTGTAGACAGGTTTGTTCTCCTGTAGGGTCTGTACTCGTCCATGTTCAGCTTTGGCAAAGGCTTTCTTTAACTTCTTGACAAAGACCTGAAAAATAAAAAGACATGCAAAAATTACTCCTCAGAAGACCAAGTAGTGTCACCCCTACAGTCCGAAACAATTGACTTTTAAATCATATGCCAATTAGTACAATCAAAAGTCTTTCACTTTGACTAGTAGCGTGCATAGTCCAGTAGTTTGCAATCCTGCCTCTGGACTAAGAAGTTGGGAGTTTGAATCCCGGCTGTTGTCGCTCACCCGACATGCACACTACTGTTAAGGGCTGCAGTCCTTAGGATGGTACTTTAAGCTTATAAGCTGTGGTCCACTGTTCATTGTGCTTGTCAAAAAGAGCTAGGGGTATTTCCCCAGTAAAAAGGAACCTGTAAATACTGTACATAGCGTCTGTCTTCTCTGTCACAACCAGTGGGACTTCCAAAGAGTAGCTCTTCAATGAGCCAAACTGATTCGAGATCACCTTCAGATCACTTTCTTTTGACTGTCATATTTGTTTGATAACATTACCTTGAACTCCCTAAACTTGTTGATGATAGGTTCATGAGACAGATACTGGATATCTTTCATCAGGTAGAAAGTCCTGGGTGCTGTGGAGCCTTTGTTGGCCTTCTTCTTGTTCTTGGGTTCTCTGGGATAAACTCCTTTCAGGATACAGAGCCGTCTGACGAGGGGCGAAGAAGAAAATGTTATAACGTAAATCATGAAGTATTAGCTAGGACTCAGTGTGAATGATTTGAAAAATAGTCCAATAAAAGCTGTCTGCAAGCCAATTTGAGCCTCTAATGAATAAAGAATTGAAATTTGTACAAACAAATCAAACAAACAGATACAATACATGATTTTTTTTTTCATCCGTGCCAAGGAGTGCATATTCATCTAATCTCCATGCAGATGCAGGGTAGGACAATCATTGCAGGCATCTTTATCAAGTTTATGACAAAATTTATGAAACTTGTTAAATGTTACCTGAAATCTGGCAGGCTGATCTGGAGATAGTTGATGGCTCTGTTTCGGGTGATGTAGGCTGTGGCAGCGCCGCTCTCATACTAGAAAAGACAATTTTTCCAAAAGTTCAAGCTATTACAGTTTACGTGTGTCCCAGTTCTTACACAGTTCACCACAATTTAATAAGTATGTTTTCAAAATATGTTATATAAGGATATAGTTATCAGGGACTGCCATATTACTAGTATATAAGAATGGACAGTTTCACTGCACTGGTAGTTTTATATTTATAAGAACGGCATTTAATTTAGGGGAGGGGGGCATGCTTTTATTATGCAACATGTGCTTACACGACGCTACGAAGCTACTCTCGTTTTCCATCAAATTTCACCACTATAACGGGCAACCAAGTACTTGGACAACTACCATATCATCACAGACATATGTTACAATTGTTTTACACACCTTCTTCTGCATCAAACGGCCCATTTTGGCCGAATTTAAAGCGCTGGTTCAGCGGCCACGAGGTAAAAATGAAAAGCCTCGTTCCGGCAGATTGACCTCTGCTCTCTGACCTCTCGGCCGTTGACCTCTGACCTCACATGTCGTGTGTGTGACTTCCGGGTTGTAGAAATATGGGCGGATCATAGCAGCTGTTTTCCTTATATATTCCGCGTGATTGTGTTTCCTATGAAGATTCGTTTTAATCGACGAATGTTCATGATGCTGTTGCTATTTTCCGCGGTAAACGGTGAGTTTTGCAGAAAGCGAAAACAAGCATGTAACGTTAACTCTCAACTCTACTCTTGAATCTGCAACGGAGTTTTATTAAATGTTCAACGCCATAACCACGAGGAATTAATCAATGGCCATGTTTCCCCCCTTTGGGTTAATTATCAGTTTTTACACAGTAAGTTATAACTGTGTGATGGCTTAAAAATATTTTGATCCTGTTTGAGATACATTTTGTAGAGGCAGATACACTCCATTGTATTGAGAATGACAGGATGTTCTTGCTTTGTTCATGTAATTTGACTCCTTTCCTGATTAAGGAGTCCTTGCACTTAGTACATGTACTTTTTGATGACGTCATAAAAAAACTATTGCCCCTATTAGTTGTATTGAAGCCTTTTAAAACTTTTGCCAGTGGCAGGGAAATCACAATGATTCACATTACAATTTCCTCATGACAATGAATATTATTTTTCCGCCTTATTTTTCTCCAGTTGTGGCAGTGTTCATGATGAGAATGGGTCTGGACACTGGGGCACATGCTTCTCGATCCTCTCAGAGTCAGACACTCTCCAACGGAATGCTCTTTCCCCGGGAATCAGAATCCAGAGAAGTCCGGGAACTCGGAGGAATGTGGAAATTCCGGGCAGACATGTCGCCCAACAGGAATGCGGGGTTTGATCAGCAGTGGTGGGAAAAAACATTAGAACAGGTAGATTGGGTTTCATTATGGCATCATGTTGGCTTGTGATTATGTATAATAAGTAATTGACTCAGATTAGATGGAGATGCTGAGTTCAAATCTCTTAAGCCCCAATAATGTGCATCTCTTTAAATTTTCTCATTCCACAAATTCCACAGATGTGTTATGCCTTAAGGTACGTACCACGTTGAGACCTGTCACTTTGCCCCAAAAGTGCTGTCAGCAAATATGATTAAATTTATAACTAGAGTCATGTAGAATACGTTAATATTATGCTGCAAACTGGTGCTGTTGGTCTTATGATTATGTCTATCACAATTACGTATAACCTTTTTAGGAAGTATTAGAATTAAGGCACTGATATATTTTACTCTCACCCCAGACAGGCCCAGTGATTGACATGCCTGTACCTGCCAGCTATAATGACATCACCCAGGACAGACGGCTGAGGGACTTTGTCGGCTGGGCGTGGTACCAGCGGGAGTTTTACGCCCCTGCCTCCTGGAAGAACATCAAACAGAGAACTGTGCTCAGGTTCGAGAGTGCCCACTACAACACCATTGTGGTGAGTTTTGTTGTTATTTTCATGCGTAATGACATTTTCAGCTTTGAGATTGATTTGTACACATTAAAAGCTATTGCCAAGTCCTTTTGTAAAACACTCTATTCCACAATGAAAAGATGTGCATTTTAAAACCAACCAGTCAGCTTGCAATAACATGTAGTACAATTTGCATGTATAACTATAAGGTGCAATACATATAGATCTGGTTTGAAAAATTCATCTACTTGATTCTTGTTCTAGGAAGGGAACAGAAGCAAATCTAACAGTTCCTTTATTTGCTCCAACTGTTCAGGCCACTTTTCACAATGCTTTTCTTTGCAATTCCAGTGGCTTAATTCTAAGGAGATTGTCAGACATGACGGTGGACATCTTCCATTTGAAGCGGATGTTTCCTTGGTTCTGAGATACAACGTTCCAAACACCCTGACAGTGGCTGTGAACAACACCCTGACTCCTCACACCATCCCACCTGGGACCATCCAGTACATGGATGACCCTGACAGGTGATCACAGATTCAAACTTGCTTTTCTGTCGGATGACTATCAGAAAGCGAGGTCTTTGCCAGTGTTAACCTGCTGGATAGGGCTGCCTTGAGATACAGAGTGAAGGCCAGTACTACAAGCCAACTACTGCCAACACCTCTGTGACAGGGACAACAGCACCAGAATAATCTTATCCTGGATAGTGAGTGAAGGCCTGTATCAATGAATTATATAACGAATGAGTCAAACAATGAAAGAAAGGAGAAAGAAAATAAGGAAGTACACATATGACATGTTTACATTAGGCACCTGTAAGAATATAGTATAATGAGGATTTCTTGTGTATTTTTCCCCTAAGGTACCCTCCAGGCTACTTTGTACAGAACTTGCAGATGGATTTCTTTAACTACGCAGGAATCCAGCGTCCTGTCAAACTGTACACCACTCCTTCTGTCTTCCTGGATGACATCACAATCACCACAAATGTACAGGGATCAACTGGTAAAATATCACATAATCAGCTACTGTTACACTTGTTAAAATGACAGATAATGACAGACATATTTTCTTCATATCACAAGACAAGTCATCTAACTTTCAGCCTTTAAAAGGTTGAGCAGAAGACATAATAGTAATTAAGGTGGTGGTGAAACATATTGTTTTTACCTCTTCTTCTTCTCCAAACAAATAAAGTTAATGACCTGGACCAGACGTCTTTCACCATGGTGACTAGCATTGTAGCTGACACCCTGTGGTGTTGGGTTTACATTATGTAGCAGGACAGAGCTAGAGTGGCTGCTCACTATATATTATATTATATGAATCTGTTTTAGTAACAATAAACATAACAGTAGTTTGTTAGGCTAGACATCATGCATAGAAGGTGAACATTATGCATTTGCAAATGTTACCTTTCTAGTTCACATAATTATTTTTCTTCACTCTATATCCTTTTACAGGTTATGTAAATTTTGACTGTGTCATCAAGGGAAACAGCAGTGCAGTTCCAGTAACAGTGGACCTTCTCGACAAGACTGGACAACTGGTAGCCGCAGTCAAGGGCAGTGGAAAGGGTCAAGTCAAGGTCGCTGATGTGAAACTATGGTGGCCATTTACAATGAGCAGTGACCCAGCATATCTATACACACTGAAGGTACATAGGTGGGATTTTTCCAAATCTTTCAACACGATCATACAATGTAATAAACTTGCCACAGTATACTACTTGTATACCAGTAGTATACCATACTTTTGGAAATGCCTCCATTTGGAAATGCCAACATTCATTGGTCTGTCATCCATAAAAAATGTAACAGTTATATGTATAACGTTGTCTATTGCAATTGTATTGAGCTTGAAAATTGTTGAAATGTTCTTGTCATTGATAGACTTGTTCTGCAGTTCTTAGGTAGTTTGTCAGGGGGCATGGATGAACTGCTCATTGTGTACGTGTTACAGTTTACCTTCTTGCCATTCTGACCACCAGGTGACAGTGATAGGCAGTGCAGGACAACCCGATGTATACAGGTTACCTGTTGGGATTCGAACAGTGCAGGTCACCAGCAAACAGTTCCTCATCAATGGCAAACCGTTTTACTTCCGAGGCTTCGGCAAACATGAAGACTCAGATGTAAGTAACATTACTGTACAACTTTTTTTGCTCAAGTCAGTTATTTTAGTACCTTTTCTGTAAGGAATCATGATGTCCATACATGTACCACTTTCAGCAGTATGGCTATATTGTACATTTTCAAACTTTACTTGCACAAATGTATATGTACAAATTCACATGTACAAACTCTTCACATTCTTTTGTTGTCCAACATGCAACATATACTCGGTTGGGTTAAGGCGGCCTAGGCTGATATTCATGTTCGAGTTCGGGCGTGTGTCTGCACGATGGCCACAGGCATGTTTCGAACCCGAACCATGTTCCACCATGTTCGATATGACGTCATTCGAATAGAATGCATGTTCGAATTCGGGGTAACTCGCGGTCATTTGTATGTTTCCCCTGTAAACCCGCGTTGTTACGCATTTTATTCACGGACTATGACATAAACGGCTTTACGCGCAGCTGAAAACAGCATAATTGATCTTTAGAGTAACCCATGTTTACGTATTATCACTTTTTTATCAAAATTGTCCGAGGCTATTTTGCATATAAGTCGATATTTTTTAACTGTGGCGATTTTTAAACGAAAAATGACAAAAAAATAGCTGTTTCTGTCGTTTTTGGCCCAAAAAACAATGTAAATGTCTTTTAACACAAAATAGCCTCGGACAAAAATAATAAATAGGGGGTTGGCTTTCTACTTGTAAAATATCACGATGAAAGGTGTTGTTACCGCTTGCGCGTAAAGCCATGAAGTAAACAGCTTTTTTTAACCAAAATGTTGATTTTTAACCCAAAAATCCAGAAGTAGTAAAAACAAAATAACCTTTATTCAATGTGTTTCAAGTACTACTAGAACTGTGTGAAGTTTAGTTGTGGTGCGACCAAGGTATCAAAAGTTACAGGCATATGTATGAAATATTACTCATAGTTTGCCATAGGCTGCCTTAACCCAACCGAGTATTTTTATATCCACACCGGGTGTGTCAATAGCTATGTACGTATACAAGATTAATTGACTGAAATGTATCCGTTCTCAACGGGAGGTCAGTTTAAGGTACAAAAGTAATCCTTAGGACTTACAAAACCTCCTTGATGGTAATTATTGAGATAATAGAGCAATACTTGGGTAGATGAACTATCATATATTAAAATAAATAATAATGCCCCCCTGCAGATCAGAAATGG